AGTCGAGGCAACAGCGCTGCCCAAGCTGGCAATGAAACTCGAACTGAAAATATGGGATATATTAGTAAAATTCTTTAGATTAGAGAATTGGAAATATTTGCGTTTGCGTCTTACACAAAATGGTTGGCAACCTGATCGCCAAAAGCGCTCATCAACTGCAGCTTGCAAAAGTCATAGACTGGCAGCTCAACGGATGCAATAACCACGGCTCGCTGCGCCGTTGGCCCTACGCCGCGCCAGAGTCCGCGCACACCCTCATATTTGTATATTTCCCTGAAGCAACCGAGCAGGCCCAGTTGATCGGTTCCCTTGCCGTGCACCTGCATGCGCACCTTAAGCACATCCGTCGGATTCGCAATGGCCGATGAAATGGCGCCTGCACCCGCCGCACAAATGATGTTGCTCCAAACACGCTCACTGCCGTCATTGTCGGTCAGCAGGCCACGTTCGCTGGCCAGCTTCTTAAGCGTGTAGTAGGTGCCAAACTTGATAGTTCCATAGGTGGCCTGTCGCAGCACCGCTGGCCAAATGCTGCAACACAAGAACAAGCATTACTTATCAAATAAAAATACACATTTGTTTATGAACACAAAGTCTAAGGGGTTGCTATTGTGCTTATCATCAAGCAGGGCCAAAGTTTACTGGCCATTTCATGCGATGAAAACTTGACGGATTATAACACGAGACGATTTACATTTCATTTAGCTGGCGTTAAAGCGCTGTGCCTCGTTATCAATATGCACACAAAACAGTTTTTTACACACGCACACCAGTGTATGCAACTAGCACGTTATTGGGTCACTTCGACTGCATTCGACTTGACTTACCCTGAATACAAAGCTCTGAGTCCCTCCTCCCTTGAGATCTTTACGAATGCATCTGTCATGCCACGGTATCGTAATTGCGAAAAGGTTTGATCGATTTTCTGTCCTTGAATTTGAAGACGGGTCTTGGTTGTGTCGATTGGAAATGTGCCTGCATATAAATGGACATGTGCATGCGCATCAGACCAATGTTTGTTTACACCAGGTTCTTTTTTTTTTTTTTTTGGAACTAACCAAAATGCACAAATCATCGCCGCTCTTAACTTACCAAACTCGGCTGTTATGGACGCCAGACCGCCATAAACAAACGGCCGCCAATCCTTGACTTCGGCCATGAGCACAACAACAATTGCACCTGTTGAGTGGTTGCAATTCGTGGGTCCCGGCTCGTTATATTAACAAACAATAAAGTCACGCAACAAACATGCCGTGTCCGCGGAAAATTACATAGTGGCCTGCTAAATAATCGATATTGTGCTATGTTCGATACTATCGATATATTTACAGCGTTTTTCTTATCGATAATGAAATTTTACATACTCCTACAAAACTTTTAACTGTGTGGTTAAACAAATTCAATAAAAAATTAATTCATTAAGACGCTTATTTTTATAACTTAGTATAACCGTTAGAATAAAATGCAGCAATCGGGACATACAGCTGTTGTTTCTACATTACATCGGCTATGGGAATATTTTTCTGTTTTCTGCACATATTTTTTTCGTAACCACTAATTATTGTATTTTATAGCCTAATTCCACTGTCCACATTTCATACATATTACGAACGTTACATTGTTTTATAGTGCTAAAAATGTGGCCTGAAAGAAACACAATTGTTTAATTTTTCAAAAAATTAGGTATTCGCCCCGAATAGTTCGTGTTGCATGCGATGATTTATCGATTTGCATATCGATGTTATGATAAATATGAAAGTATCATGCCTACAAACAGCTGATACAGCAGCGAAGGTAAGCGGTAACTTTAAATTATATTTTTAAAATAGTAACAATCAATGAATATATTATATGGACCTCCTACTTCAAGGCTTTTATTTTTGACTTGTGGAAGGAAAACTATGCGGCTCTTAGGTCTGCGCAAGAAAACGTATATTTTAAACTTATTCAAGTTGGCTTCAAATTTTTTTGTTGGGAAGACGTGCGCTCAGCAATTAATAATATAACGCGAAAGAACAAATACTGATGCTTCAATTTATTTATATTATAAATTTCATTAGCTTTTATTAGGAGTGAGTTAAAAGCTGAAGGCGCATTTGGAGCCATTTTGAGCCGATTCATAGAATTCTTGGCTATATTCCAAATTTTAAATCAAAATCGAATACGTTCCTTCAAAACATTTTTTAATTACAGAGAAGAGTCTCGCTCCCGAAATTGTACTCTCATTTAAGACCACTCATCGCCCTGATATCCCAGGCTTCAAGCGCCCAAAGCCATGGATTATCTCCGTCCCCCACGCCGCATTCTGCAAAGAGACGCAGAGTTCAAAAATCGACAGAAACGAGCGAAACTGATCAAGATTGCCAATGCACGGCTAAGATTTGGAACGAATTTTCAGTTATATAAATTATTTTTATTTATTGGTGTGGCCTTAGAAAGGTAGTTATAGCTTGCCTAATACTTTATGCCGTGTCATCAAATTCTCAGTCATGCTTTCAAAATGACAATATTTTCGCAATTTAAGAAATGGTGCAAAATACACAACGCCATAATTATATCTATAGTATTGTCGCAGCTATTGTCCATCTCAGAACCTATAAGAGCTAGAGAAAAGTTGGAATGTATACGCGCAAAACGAGTTTGTTTCCGATAGTCGATAATTTGACCCGTTTCAAAACAATCGATAAAAATGTATATCGAAATCTGGTTTTGTGAGCAAATCTCGTTAATTATAAGCAGCAACTTGAAAAGTATATATGTAATTTTAATTTTAATTTTAATTTTACAACTATTGCCTTACTTGGTGTTGTTAGAATAGGGTTGAGGGTATTTCCTAGTCGGGAGTTCCCGGTCGTTAGTTGTAATCTTATATCTATCTATCCTTCTCCTTCATTATGCAGGCATATTTTCGTATAGTTATCAATATTCTTATCAAATTTCGCATTTTAAGCCATTCGATGACATGTTCGCAATGTTTGGTCTGTACACAAAAACAGGAATGTGTATTTATTCCGTAATAATCAGATAATCTTATATATGGTATCTGTGAATAGATGAGATAGATAATGAGTAAAAAAAAACTGCCATGCAAATTTGGTCATAATCAGAAATAAAATGGAATTTGAAAACAAACGAATGGGAATTCCTAAGACTCGCCAGATCTGGGCTAATCTGGGTTCTCTGGCCTTAGCCTTGTATTTGAAATGTTTTGGTTTTGGTCAAGCTCCGTTTAGATGACAAATTCGCCCAATTCAATTTGTTGTTTTGTTTTGCTAAATTGTTTACCTAGCTGCGATGTGTAGACATTGTTTATGTATGTATTTTGCTTCATTCACGTCATTCATTTTAAATTCAAACTTGGCCCGGTTCGTGAAAGTCGACGGCGTCAGAAAGTCGCCGGCATTTCGGACTAGTTCGAGCATGGTTATTAGAGAGGCGACTGTCCGGCGGGATTGATGCTTTTGGGTTTAACCCGAAACCGAAACCGAAGACGACTGGAACTTGGACCCCGCTGGCCAAAACAAACAACTTCAATTGCCCAGTAGTGTATTCACACAAATACATTTGTCATACATAATTCAACTTGTAACACTTTCTTGCAAGTATAAACAAATATAAATATAGTCGTATATATGTATGTACATACACATGCACATACGTACATACATACATACATACATACATACATACATACATTGATACATACATACATTCATACAACCATGAATACATACATACATACATACATACATGCATACATACATACATACATACATACATACATACGTACACACATACATACATTCATACATACATTCATACAACCATGAATACATACATACGTACATACATACATACATACATACATACATACGTACACACATACATACATTCATACATACATACATTCATACAACCATGAATACATACATACATACATACATACATACATACATACATACACACATACATACATATATACATACATAATTCAACTTGTAACACTTTCTTGCAAGTATAAACAAATATAAATATAGTCGTTTATATGTATGCACATGCACATACGTACATACATACATACATACATACACACATACATACATACATTGATACATACATACATTCATACAACCACGAATACATACATACATACATACATACATACATACATACGTACACACATACATACATTCATACATACATACATTCATACAACCATGAATACATACATACATACATACATACATACATACATACATACATACATACATACATACATACATACGTACACAAATACATACATATATACATACATAATTCAACTTGTAACACTTTCTTGCAAGTATAAACAAATATAAATATAGTCGTATATATGTATGTACATACACATGCACATACGTACATACATACATATGTACATACACACATACATACATACATACATTGATACATACATACATACATACATACATACGTACATACATATGTACATACACACATACATACATACATACATAGATACATACATACATACATACATACATACATATATACATACATAATTCAACTTGTAACACTTTCTTGCAAGTATAAACAAATATAAATATTATGTACATACACATGCACATACATACATACATACATACATATGTCGCCAGCGACAGTGTGAGTTCGCTCCGAAAGTGTGCGCCCATATGTATGAGTCCACTCGCTCTCTCTCGCTCTCTCTCTCTCTCTCTCTCTCTCTCTCTCTCTCTCTCTCTCTCTCTCTCTCTCTCTCTTTGTAGCTGTTAACCAATAACAGCATAAGCACATTAATGTATCCCATTGAGCCCATTGAGTAATAAAGATGGAATTGGACAACGGCCGAACAGCCGAGTGTTGTGTTTGCAACCTGGTTTTCGCTCAGGAAGTATTTCTAAAAAGAGCTTTTGATCCAAACGCCTGCTCTTTCTCTTTATTACTCAATGGGCCCCTAATTTTAAATAAAATCATTCTCATGAAATAAACTAACCAGCTTGTATATTTATTCTTTTTTTTTTACTTTAAAGATAATTTAGTTGAAATGCGCATTCCTTTGTCATCCCCAATTCGTCTCAGAGCTTCTAAAAGACTCTTCTCCCGCGCAAGGCTCGTCTCCCCCAGAGCCAGAGCCAGAATCGTTACTGTGTACAAAATAAATGATAAAATTGTCTCGTATTATTTTATACAAATTTCATCAGATTGTGGACTTACACGTATTTTTTTCCCTTTAGTTCCTTTTATGTTTTGGTATGTGGGCTATTCCTATTTTGTATTTTATAAAAGAATAGCATTTTGAATGTGGATCATTGGGTATTCGGCTTGACGTTAACAGCTGAGTCGTTCTGCTCGCTCTCGCTTGGATCTGGCTCCAGGCCCAGGCCAGTATCCAGGGCCAACAGGCCAGCCGCCTCTTCGAACGTCTCCTCCGAGCTGATAATCGAAATGTCGCTGCCCGTGTCCTCGGTGAGAAGCGGCAGTATATCCTCCACATGGGTCGTTGCATAGAAGTGATTGTTGTACTCCTCGACAAGTCCGAGCCGCACCGCGATGCCCAACAGCACTCGGAGCTTTTTCTTAAAGGCGTGTGGATCCTTGACGGTAATGTTGGAGAACCTGAGTAGTCCATCGACTGAGACTGGCTCGTTGCATCGCTTCAGGCACTGCACCAGCTGCTTAACAACAATGTTAAGCGGTTGATTTGCCATAATTGTAACCATAAATTTTCACTATTTACTACAAATTGTAAAATATTTGAAAAACTGTGCCTGTGCTCTAAATGAACGTACGTCTAAACTGAAATTAAATACGGCTGCTTGCTTCAATTTCAATTTCAATTCCAAATCACAAAACTGTTTTTGCCCCACCCAAAGTACTCTACCAAAAGGTTGTCAAAGGTGTCATCCAGTTGGCATCTGGTTACTCGAGCAGACAAAGAGAAGAGTTTATGATATTAGTCTGTCATATAAGAAAAAAAAAAAAAAACTCTTGAATAAATAAAAACATTCTGTCAAATTTGCCAGAATTTATCGTGGCGACTCGCAGACGGAGCCCGCGCCAAAAATTCCTGCATAATTAGATAGAATCTGCTGCTGCTGCTGCTGCGTCCACATTTCGACCGGGAAATAGATTCAATAGTTCGTCTATGGACCGGTCCGGACGGTAGCGATCGACGTCGGCGAGACGTGTAATAAAAAACAAAAACTTCACGCAACGCTCCATCGAGCGATTAGCACATGGCGAAGGCTGGAACCGAGACGGACTCTCCGTCTCCGTCTCCGTGCCAATCTCGGGGCGGGGCGGGGCGGGGCGGTGCTGGGACTGATAAACAAAAGCACTCAAATCGATTGATGGATTATTGGCAATTTCTTTGGCGCCAGACTCTGGACGGCGACTCGTTTTATGCGGATTTGATAATTCGGGATTTTTGCCAAAACCGAAAAGCAACGTGTTAAATATGCAAATTGAATTAATAAAGTCTGCAATCGAAACGACTCAAGAAATTTCTTTCCCCATCAACTTGGTTCCCATACCAATTCTGGGGAATACCTAAATCTTCAGCTTAACAAATCACAATCATCTCGAGTTCAGCACATCAATTAATCCTTATTTTATTATTATTTAACTTAGATTTGAAGTTCCAGCAAATGCGAACGTTTCGCACACAACAGTTAACAATTTGCCGCAGGTGTTGCTGCCTCACCTGCAACACACAGGTAATTATGGCCTCCAGATTTATATATAGCATCAGCTTCATTTAAGTATGGGGCAATTTTAGTTTGTAACTAGCACACGTCCGTTGCAATTAATCAGTAATTAATTGTTCACATATCGTTTAGTAGACAATCTGCTTGGTTGGGCGGTGGTTGGGGGCGGGGCGTGGCATCTTGGGGGTAACCTTAAAACTAGCTACTGTTTGCGCTGCGTCGAACTGTTTTAATACACAATTTATAACTAATTATGCGTCACGTCAAAACAAAAACCTTAAGTTTATAAATATTTATCAATTCGTGTGTTTGTTTTTATTTTCATTTTTATTGTTGGCTTCTTTTTTTTGACTTGTTTTTGTTTTGTTATTTTCCTTTAGTTACTGCAGGCACGTAGTCCAAAAACTGGGCAATAACATTAATACGAATCAACAATAAATCAGCAACAATAAACGGCTGCTCCGAGTGGAATTTTTAGTCGCTCGTCCCTCGTCCCTTACCCCTCGCCCCTTGCCCCTTGTGCTAAGCCAAAACTAAAATGTTGTACCCGGTCATAATTAATAAATTCCAGCGTGCGCCGCAAAATGAATTCGGTTTCGGACGCGCCGGGCCAAGGCAATGTCAAAAGCAAGGAAGGCGACGGCAAACACAAGCAAACAAACAACAACAAATTGACGTCACACGGTCAACGTTGTTATCGTATACGGTCTACGGTCTACGGTCTGAGGCTTGGAATCTGTGTAGCTGTTGCTTGTTGCAAGTGTGACATGCGTATCGGGGCTGGGAACGGGTTAAACGGGTATTGGAATGAAGCATCCAGTGACTGGAATCCAATTGGCTTTTATATGCTTAAAACCAAAACACACTTTTTCATATTAGTTTACAGGACACTGGAAAAGCACATAAAAAAAAAAATAGTGGCTAATAGCATTTAATATAAGCAGCCGACTAGCGTTTTCTTTGTCTATAAAGAATGGCGTGCAATGCCGGACACAGATAATAGGTATTTAAGCTCTGGTATGCAATAAAACAAAAACAGACAAGAGGCGACTAGTTTCCATTAAGCGATACGCCCCCTGTCGGCCGACGGCGTCAACTTGGCGTCAGTCGAACGGGATAATAAGCACTGCAAGTCTGTGCTTCTGCTTGGAGGGCTCTGTCAGGACCAATTACAACACGCTTTCCAAGCGGTAATAAAAATATGTATGTTCATGTCTACGTCCCCTTATACTGGCCAAAATTGCAGCAACAGAGGTTTATATTTAGATAATAAACATACATATGTACATCTATCTAGCTGAGCATGACGCTCAGCTATAAAGCGATCATTGTGCCAATCAAAGAAAGGGGGCGACGAATTAATTACACGAATTCCAAAACGCCTCCAAACAACAAAGCACGCCTACACTTTGCCCCCCAACCCAGACGGATTTGGTTAAAATCGCCGGCGAGTTGTTGCCATTTGAAGTGATCGAGCAATTATTTACACAAACTGCAAATAATGCAGAACAATGGAGAGCAGAGAACGCGTGGGCAAAGCGCTTTGAGATAAATAGAGAAAAGGCATTTCGCCGGCGCAGCGAATAGTACATACGCACACACATACATACGTACATGCCCAAATATATAAATACATACGTATACAGCAGAGATTTATGGTGCGCGTTAGGCTCGGAATAACCCAAGACGCAAAAATGTGAAGCGAAAAAAGCTAAAATGCGAAGCAAGCGAACAACGCAGTCAAAAAGAAAACATGTGCTTCGCCGCACCATCACCAGAGAGCGAGAGTGTCTCTGCATCTGTGTGTGTGAGAGAGCGAATCAGACCTGTAACATTCGCTGGCTACGGACGACGCATAAATATGAGCGTCACTGGCCGCTGTAGCCTCAGTTGCTAACTGTCAAGTGTCCAGTGCATAGCTCCACAAAGTCAATAAAAGTTGAATCTCTGTGAACGGAACCGAGTGGAAAACCAATTAAACAAATAAATTGTTTTACACACACATTATACAAATAAACCATCTGCCAATAATAAATAAATATAACGCAAAATGTACGCGGAAAAAGTTTGTGTCGCACTCGCGCTCATTGCCGCCTGCCTCGCCTGCATCGCCGATGCGGCTGTCTACACTCAGCCCGCGGTCATCCATCCTGGTTAGTATCTTTGAAAAGTGCTCAGAACCCGTATACCTGGCAATTGATGGGTTAAATTCATTATTTTACTTTTTACTCTTCAATTGCTGCACTACTAAATTGAATTTAATAGAAACACGTCAATGCGAGCCCAAATTACATTTTTTAACAAAAATCTCAAATGTCTTTAACGACCTTTAGCAACAATAAAAAGTGATAAAAAACTAAAAGCAGCTGCCAGTATAAATGATTGAAGGTTGAAGATGTTTGCCAGAGTTATCTTATTTTGTAGCATTATTTGAGTGTTGGTTAACGATCAATTGTAACTGTTTGTTGCGCTCGACGTCAGAGGTTGATTATTGTTTTTTTTTTTGACACATGGTTGCCAGAGTTTACTTCTTTTTTGTAATTTTATTTGAGTGTTGGTTAGCGATTAATTGTAATTGTTTGTTGCGCTCGACGTCAGAGGTTGTTTATTGTTTTGTTTTTGTTTTTATCTTATGAATGATTTATAATTTGTTTTGCTGTTTTCGTTGACGTCAACAGACTGAAACAAAAAAAAATAAACATAATCGTAGTAGAAACAACGCAAAACAGTCGCAATCAAATTAGCAAAAACAAATGAATTTGTTGTTATTTTATTTGATATGTTTCTTTCTTTTGGGGCAAATTTCGGTTTTTGGGTTTTTTCGCATCTGCCAAAAATTAGCATAAGAAATGTGCTGATTGTTGTTGCTATAGTTGCTGCTGGGTTTTTATTAACAAATTCAAATTCGCTGTGCTAATTTGCATAGCTATGCGGATTTGTATTACAAAAATGTCGCAGCTCTTGATAAAATAGTTGCTCGATTTATTTGTCTGTTAGTTGCTAATTTTTCGAACGTGAAGGTCGTCCAACTTCTGGCCGGGTTAAAAATAGGCGATGAGTTCACGCCAATTTCTCTCAAACCCAATCCCCATGGAGTGCACAAAACAACAAATATAACAATTTTAAATGAATGCTCGAAATGCTCTTTAAGATCTCAACGCCCGCGACCCGCGACCCGCGACCCGCGACCTGAATGCCAGATGCCGAGATGTCGATTAATCAAAACTCTGCAAAATTTAGCCGGCGGCCAATTGGTATAAATAATGGCGCGAGGCTGTCAATTGTTTGCAATTGACCAATTGAGATTTTTTTTTTTGTTTTTCGTTTATTTATAAATATGCCACAAGAGAAGCTGCGCGTAATGTATTTTTACTTGCCTCCGTTTCAATATGGCCTGGCGTGACTGGCAAGTTCGTGGCTTAAGTCTTTTGATTATTTTTTGCCTGTCACGCCGAAATTATTTCGAAAGCAAATACTCACAGATCTACAGATATATATATACATAAATATATATTGATATTTACATATGCGCCAGTGAGTTTTGCTTCCTCATGCATAACCAATAAATAAATGCATGCAGCTGTAATAAAACACAACACGATATATTGAAAAGAAAAGGGGGAAAAAAAAAAGAAAAACAACTTCCGCTTTTTAACTGATTCGCCGTCTTTTCCCTTTTTACTTGCAGCGCATCCCGGCAAATGCTACGACAAGCTGACCAGACGCTCGATGCTACCCGACAAGGAGTACAAGCCGAAGGGCATCTGTGCCGCCATGACGTGCGACATTGAGGCGCGTCAGATCAATATCGAGACCTGTCCCTACATTGAGATGCCCGGCTGCGAGGAGCTGCCCAGCGACCTCAACTGGAGCTTCCCCAAGTGCTGTCCTCAGTTCAAGTGCGTCGACTTTAAGACCGGAAAGGAGTTTGTCGTCTCCGCTTAGATCCAGATACATACTCTCTCATCGGGGGCGGGGCACTGGTCCCGCGGCTGGGGCCAAACGTGATTTTACATGAAATGTATTCGTAGTTTTCTAGTTATTTGACTGTGTGTGTGTTAGTTTGTAAGCCCGTTTGTTTGGTTTTGTGTGAATG